AGAGGCTGAGAGCAAAGAACCAACATTTATTTATACGGATTCATACGCTGTATTTAAAGGATGTACTGAGTGGCTCCCCTTCTGGGAACAAAATCAGTGGGAAGTTAACGGGGTACCCGTGTGGCAAAGGGAAAAATGGGAGGAAACCTTAAATGCTGCTAAACAGGGGACTTTCTTGGTGGGATGGGTAGCTGCACACCAAAGGGGAAATCACCCAGCCCACATTTGGAATAACCAGGTATTCGCTAACCCGTTTAGCTACAATGGCAACAGAAGCTGACGAAGAAAAGTGGGAATATCTGTTAGAGTGCTTACATGTGAAATGCGGCCATTCGGGGGTTAAAGACCTTTTCAAAGAAGCTGGTGGCAGAGGGAACTGTGTAACACGATCATTTCTGCTTGTAATCAGTGCCGTACCAGATTAGAGAGTTACCCCTTACAAGAACCCCCTCTCCACTTATGGGATGGAAAGGGCCTCTGGGAGACTTGGTAAGTTGATTACATAGGACATTTTAAAAAGTCAGACGGGAAGCAGTATGTTCTTGTTGGGGTGAAAGTGGTATCGGGGATAACATGGAGAAAAGGTTGAAGCTATGGTTTAGTTATCTATCCAAACCCCAGTCAATCCAATCAGATGATGGTAGCCACTTTACTGCCAGGGTGGTTCAGGAATCGGCAAAAGGCGAGGGAATACAATGGATATTTCACACCCCCTACTATTCTCAAGCTAATGGGATAGTGGAAAGAACAAATGGACTGCTGAAACGTGTACTTAGCCCCCAAAATTCTGGATGCCTGCATGACTCCCCGATGCCATAGCAAAAGTGAACAGTCGCTGGGGGGTAAATGGATGTCCCAGGCTCACCGCATTTTCCCCCAAACCCCCCTCCCTGCTCCCGGGGGCGAGGGAAACGAAGGACTCGGTAGAGCCACTCCACTGTCTAGGACAACCTGTTTTGGTAGAATAACCAATGGTAGAAGTACCCTTAACTCTGAAAACTCCGC